CTGCAGAAATGGGATGAGGATGTTGGGGGCACTGCAGAAATGGGATGAGGATGTTGGGGGGCACCTGCAGAAGTGACATTTCAGGCAGCTGGGAGAACATCGCACACACAGGCAGCACACAGTATTCTCCTGGCAATGCAGGGAAAGTACGTGGTTTACTGTCTAGAGTACAGGGAACAAGTGGGAGTTGGGGGGGGGCTGGGAGTGGGGACAGGCTCCCAAGGACACACCCCAAGGAGATGCCATCATTTGTTCTTCTCTATCGAATGCCGGGTGGAAGGAAGCGCACCCCTCCATCCCGATCTCTTTCTTGTATCCTCACTTCCGGCAACGTGATGATAGGCACAGTTGCTTTCTCTGTTCCAAGATGAAAACCAGAAAAAACAAACAAAAATGAGGCACAAAGAACTGTCACATGCTTGCACAAGTTCAGAGATCTAGGAAGTAGCAGAGCTGGGATTTGAACCTAGTCCCATCATAACGATACTCTGTTGTTCCCTGGGATCAGCTTTTTCTCCTTACGTGAATCGTGGCTTTAGAAAAATAACATTGGAGTATGATATCTGACAATATTTCCCCAGAGTGATTCTTTCAAGGACACTTGGATCCCTTGAGAGGTGACAGATTATTATTGGAAGTGAACACCTGGGGCTCCTGGATGTAAGGTGTGTCTAAATGACCAGCCTTTTGGCTATAACTTCAGAGGTTTCCCTGCTGACCATGAACGGTACTTCATGCTGTTCCTTCTTCTCCTCCCTCAGGCATGCGTGCGTTATCCGTGGACAAGTGATGACATCGGATGGGACCCCGCTGGTTGGCGTGAACATCAGTTTCATCAATAACCCTCTCTTTGGGTACACAATCAGCAGGCAAGATGGCAGGTAGGAGACCTGTTGTGGGTCAGGGAGTTGGGGCCTGTGGTCTTCCAACATGGCGGCCCCTGGATTGGTTATGTGGACAGAGGGTCAGACAGCCTACCTTCTCCCACACAGTTCTACAACCTATGGCCTTACTGTGAGCTGTGTCTAACTCTGGCCTCTGTCCCTTCAGCTGTGAGCTAAGCACTTTCTTCTCAGGAGGCTCTCTCATAAGCACAGGGCAGCTTATCTGTAGTCTTCTCAGTGACTCCTCGTAGGAATTCTGTGACATTCTTCCTTTCAACCGCCTAGAAGTTACTTCAACAGAAGCCACTTTGGTGACAGCCAATCCTGGCCTTTGCATTTCCCCTGAAGTGGTTTACCCCATCAGCAGTATAAAGTAAAGCTAGGGTTTCCAGGATGTCCTGGATCTCCCGCAGTGACTGGCGTCTGCCTGGACAAATACTGCTGCCCAACCCTCGGCTTCTTCATCTGTAGCCTGATTCTAACATCCTCGACCTCATAAGCTGGTCGGGAGAATCAGAGGAATGGCTAGGATAGTACAATGGGTGGGGAATCACCTAGCGTGTAGTATGCATTTTAAAAAGCACAGCTTCCTGCCACACACTAGGATTCACTAGCGTGAAACATAGAAAGTCAATCAATAGTGGAAGTTAAGACTACAAATTATAACGAACCATTGAGTAACAAGGAGATAGTAGCACAAATATTTTAGAAAAAAAAAGAAGGCAAGTGGAATATTTAGCCCATCCGTGGTGATAAGTCCTCTATTTTTAATGAACCCGGTGGTGTCAGTCCATCTGGCTGAGCGTGGGCCCATAAGGTTGCTTCTTCACTCTGCCTTGGAAATTATGCTCCAGCCTGATTGATTTTAGCGCCTCTTTAATCCAATATCAGATGTGAGCATGTCCCAGCCGAGGTGATAATGAAGCAGGACTCATTCGTTTGTGTGTCTTAGACAGCTTGGCAAGCGTGGCGCCAGGAGCCTCCCCTCCTCCGTGGCAGTGGGAAGGACCCAGCTGGAAAAGTCCTGGGCCAGCCCCCAGGGAGCAAACTGACCAGGCCAGGCCACTGCTCCCCCTGCTGCACAGTTCCTGCTCAGAAGGCCCTCAGCAGGCACCCACCAGGGCAGGAAGGAGCTTCCCCTGCTCACTCCGTCTGTCCTCGGGTTTTGGATAGCACAGAAATGGCAGCTGTGGGTATCCTCAGCCGTGGATATTCTTAGAATGCTCCCACCCACAGGGGAACAGTCATCAAAAATGGAGCTTTTCCAGACTGCTCTTTTTGCCATGACACTTACCACATGAAAGAGCCAACTGTCAGTCAGAAGGCACCTCTGGGCTTGCTTAGACTAGGTCCACGAAACATGCCATAGTAATCCCACATGCAGTGACCTTAGCAGTCACCCATTCTTTGGCCTTCTGGGCTATGATTTCCCTGTTTGTGCTATGCTGATTATATGTACTGCTTCATGAGGGCATTAAGTGCCCAGGGGGAGGTTCTCCTGCATCAGCCTCCCACATGGTGACACAGCCAGAACGTGTCATTTCAAATCAGTCCTCGCTGATGCATCGTGGGGCTAGCATGCTCTTTCCAACATAGACACCATAACGTATGGAAAAGCTACCACTTGTTCCCATAGTGTCTGAAACTCCCTCTTGTATGTGAGCAGGGAACATCTGACCCACTCCGCTCCTCTCTTCTGTGACTCGGTTTCTCTTCCCCCTTCATGTTCAGAAGCAATTGAAGAAGACACTCATATCTACCTGTGATCTCCATATATACTCATACACAGACTGTACATGTGCATACATGCATACACACATGTGCTCACACACACACAGAAAAATAATCCACACGAAACTTTGGGTTTTTATAGATGGGAAAGCTGAAGCTCAGAGAGGCTGGCAGATTTACTCATGGCCACACCGTAGCTCGTGGCAATAAGGACTGGATTCAGGGCTCCCAGTGCCCAGGTAGCGCCTGCTGAATCTCATTCTGCTGGCTCCTTAGTGTGCTCTGGCTCCTCACAGCAGCAGCACCAGGAGCTCTGTTGCAGGGGCTCCCCAGCTGCCCTGGGTCCTGCTAGGCAGCTCCTGCTGCTGTGCTTTAATGTCTAACTACCCCACCCCCGCCAATCATTTTACAGCAACGGCTAGCGGTTGCTGGAGTCACTGTCACTGTTTGTGGCTGCAGTCCAGTCTCTGAATGTTAGAGTGGCCCTCGACCAAGGACTCGGCCCCTTCCTGTAACCTTCTCACCCTTCACAATCTCACCGTTCTCTTCTTCCTCTTCTTCTTCCTGTTGCTGCTGTCCTCCGACCTGCAGCTTTGACCTGGTCACGAACGGCGGCATCTCCATCGTCCTGAGATTCGAACGGGCACCCTTCATCACGCAAGAGCATACCCTCTGGCTGCCCTGGGACCGCTTCTTTGTCATGGAAACCATCATCATGAGACACGAGGAGAACGAGATTCCCAGCTGCGACCTGAGCAACTTCGCCCGCCCCAACCCCGTGGTGTCGCCATCCCCCCTGACGTCCTTCGCCAGCTCCTGTGCTGAGAAAGGCCCCATTGTCCCAGAAATCCAGGTACTCAGGCTTCTTGATGATGTCAGGCCATTCTTTTATTTTATTTGGGGACAGAGGACAACCCCAGAGACAATAGAAACCAGGAGAGTCCCCCTAGCGGCCTGGGCGAGACCCCAAAGGCCAAACCCCATAGTGGACATGGCGTCAGATTATGAGGGCCACTTTACATGCCTGCCTACAATCTGTCAGCACGCTAAGCCTTACAACAAACTCCTTGGTTCTTTCTGCTCTGCCGCCCTGGCCACCCTGCCTTACTCATCCTTAGCTTTCAGATTTTTACTTGTCTTGGTATTTCTGCTAAAAGTATAGCAACAGTTTCTACACACAGGACTAAGCCATGGGATCCCAACTAGTAAGCATTTTAATAAAGAGTAAATAAGAAAAATGGAACATGGGTTACTTAACACAACGTCTGACACCTACTAAGTGCTCGATAAATTCTAGCTCTTATTATTAGTAAGATTATTTAACACATGCTGCCTCCGTGCCAATTAAGGATTGCTTTGGATCAGATCTACACACGCAAATGTTTTACTTAATTATCATTAAAGGGAAGTAATTGAGAAAAATGTATTTTAATCTGATGAAAATGAAGATCAATTCTTTGCCAAGCAAAACCATGCCGAGCTGAATCTCCTCCATCACCCCCGGGTTGGATCTCCTCTGCCTTTCCCAGTCTGATGTCTTCAGGCAGAAAAGAAGGTCCAAGGACGAGGGGAAATGGCAGGGCAGAAGCCCAGAGAGGCCCAGGTCACCTGCCTACCTAACGAGACTTTCAGCAAAGTGATTGTTGATGGATCGCCCTGGTGCTGGTGCAACAGAGCATTTATAGGTGTGTGTATGTGTGTGTGTGTGTGTGTGTGTGTGTGTGTGTGTGTGTTTCACATCTGGGTGAGCAAACACATCTCCCTGAGTGTGCCCTGTTGAGTAGCTCCCAGTGCCACTCCCCAACAAGGAAACAACCATTCCTGAATCCTCACTGTACTCTGGGCAGAAAGCTCACTCCTTCTCAGAGATGCAGGGCCTGTCTCCTGTCTCAATGGCCAGGCTGACCTTTCTATGAAATGCTTGTCAGCAGAGACAGGACTTGCTGGAGAGAAGTAATTTGTTACTCAACCCCGGCTCAGTTCTAGTCAGACATCTTTTCCCAGGAGCGGGGACTGTGGAACAAATGAGGTTCAAGGTCATCCCCTCCTTGTAGTGCTCCCTGAGCCGGGTGCCTACAGGTTCGGTGGGGGCACAACCCTTGCTTATTGTCAGCCCTGCAAAACACATAAAACAAACTCTTTGTTTTCCCAGCCCCATTGCTGGTCAACCTCCACAAGTGCTGGGATGTGGAAACTGTGGTGGGCGCATTAATGAAGGGAAATATTTATGAGAGCATCAGGGCCAGCACTCAAGTGCCGCCCGTGGCCCACCGGGGTGTGTAGCCTACTTCGCCTGGAACTACAAACTGTGGCCTGGGAAGACAGCAATGGATTAATTCCAATCTATAGCATTTCCTGTGTTCAAGAGAGGAGTGCAGACAAAATGTCTCCACCCTTCTATGGGAAAAACAGGGTGAAAAAGGCCCAGTTCCTCTGTAAACAGAGGGTGAATATAGCCGTCATCCCTCGAATGGACATGTTAGGCTCAGTTGATTTAATGTTCCCTTCTTGAGAAAGAGCCCAGAGCATCAAGTCGATGACAGTCCCCTGCGTTTGCCTTGTGGGCGATTGTCTGGAATCCACCGACTGTGTCCCCCTTCAGTCTGAGCCTGCTGCCTTCCCTCCTCTGCTCATCGGAAAGGCACTGGACCTGGGAGCCAGTGTGCACTGAAACTCCATGTGGCCAACCTGAGCCCTCTGGAGACGCACTGGGACACTGGACCAGGGTCTCGCCAGGCTCTCAAGCACTGCCTGATGGTGTGTTTGTTCAGCCCTGTGTGCTCTCTGTTGGCCTTCCTGGAAAGGACACATTGAAACTATATCTCGCTTTAAGAACGCTTCAGACAGAAACCATCTACCAGACTCAGACTGCAGTTTAGGTCAGTGTCTTCACGGCATCGCTGCTCTCTGTACCGTAGGTACCAGCCATACCACTGTCCTGTCTGATGGCAGTGATGGGCCAGGCACTTTGCATGTGTGGCCTTACCAGTAAGGAAGAGCGGATTCCCAGATTCTTGTGTTTGACCTACTGACATAGCTAATGAGTTGAAGGTGTGCATTGCTGAGTAACCCATGTACGTTATCAGGGCCATGATAAAATATCTTCATCCATGTTACACAGGGGAGGATCCTAAGGCTCATGGAGGTGAGTTTGTTAATGCAGGTACACCGTGTAGGAACTGACCCTGGAGCTATTCCTCCTTCCTCATTCCCTTTGCTCACCTCTCCTTATCTTCTTCTTCCTGCTATTCTTCCTTCTCCTCCTCACCTCTTTCCCTTCCGCTTCCTCCTGTGCCCCCTGAACACCCGAAGTCCACAGGTCTTTGATGTCACCTCCCTCCCCCCATGACCTCCAGTGACAACCCCTGCTGTGCTCTGTCTGTGCTGTAGGCCCTGCAAGAGGAAATCACCATTGCCGGCTGCAAGATGCGGCTGAGCTATCTGAGCAGCCGCACGCCTGGCTACAAGTCTGTCCTGAGGATCAGCCTCACACACCCCACCATCCCCTTCAACCTTATGAAGGTCCACCTCATGGTGGCGGTTGAGGGTCGCCTCTTCCGGAAGTGGTTTGCTGCAGCCCCAGACCTGTCCTATTACTTCATCTGGGACAAGACAGATGTCTACAACCAGAAGGTGTTCGGGCTGTCAGAAGCCTTCGGTAAGCCTTCCCTAAGTATCCGCAACACAGGCTCCACACGTCGGCAGAGGCAGAGCAGAACCAGAGAAGCGGCTTCCTTCATGGATGTTCTTTCTTCCCTCCTTCCTCTTTTCAGGTCAAAACCACCTAAGGCTTAATGGGGCTGTAAGACCTCAGTGGCCATCTATAACCTAGATGAACATTGGAAGATCTGAGTGTGCAAAACCCAAGCTTGAAACATAGTTACAGAAATAGAACGGTCCTCAGGAAGCACTCTGGTGGTGTGTGACAGGCTAAAGTACACCGTGTGCCAGAAAAGTAGAATATACATTTGTTATCTGGCCGCCCCGCTGCCGTTACGCTGAAATCTAAAATGAAAATAGAGGCGCTAAGGTTGGGCTGCTGCCATGTTTGTCAAAACTTGGTTTTCGGCCTCGTGGTTGTTTTGACTGGTTGAGGCAGGGCCTCCCTCTGTAACCCTGAGTGACCTCAGATTTCCTGTGTCACACAGACCGGCCTTGCACTCACCAGCTTCCTGATTCAGCATGACCTGGTGCTAGGATTGTAGGTGTGCGACACCATACCCAGCATCATAGGTGTGTGACACCTTGCCCAGCTGGCCTCATGCTTTTGTCTCCCAGCAGAGAGGTCGCCTCTGGTAACTGTTTTCACTGCTGTCTTTAGGGATGAAACCAAAGTTGGCTGCCTCGCCAGGATCTTGTGCCTGGCAGGATGACCGCCCTTCCTGCTTCTGGGTTAGAACAGGCTCCCAGGAGCTTCAGCAGTGGGCAGTCAGTAGTCATAATGCCCAACAAGATGTCTGAGGAGCAATAGCCCAGCAAATTCCTTCACCTTGATCCCGATTCTCTTTCAGTTGTCTTCAGATAGCAAAAGCGGTTAGGACCCTGGAAGTTGTGCTGAGAAAGGGAAGGAGGGGGGGAGGGGAGAAGGAGTGGCAGGAAGTGGTGGGAGGCAGGAAGGAAACAAGAGGACCTCTGGAACTCTTGCTCCATGGCTGTGCTGTCGCACACGCTAGTGTCACCACAAATCCTCACAGCCACGTCCTTTCAGGAATGCCAAGGCGACATCTCAAGGGTGCAAAGATAGATGGAAGAAAGCTAGATTCAGCCGGCTCTGCGCTAAGATTTGTATCTCTCTCCTGTATGCCCGGGCTCGCCAGGAGCAGAAATGCCATACCTCGCTGCTCACAGGCCCTGCCGTCAGCTGCAAAAATAAAACCAAGGCCCTGTAGCCTCCTCCACTAAAATGAGTAGATTTAGTGCCCACTGGGCAGTTTCAAAAGGTCCATGCCATGAGATTCCAGTGTGGGGGCTCGTTTGCTGAGCCCATCATGGCCAGAAGCCTCGGGACATCTTCTAGCCCACTCCCCTGTTGCTGTAGGTGGGGCACCGTCTCCCAAGGCAGCTGTGAGCAGCCTTCAGAGGCCAACCAGCTGTTTATTCTTATCTCAACCATGTGTTTAGATGTTGCCAACTGGAAAATAGTGCCCTCTCAGAGGAGCTACACAGAAAAGATGGTTTGCCCATCTCCGCCGATGCTTTCCCAAGGCTGCTGCCTGGGCTTCCACAGAAGTCAAGCTTAGGGAACTGTAATTTTTAAAATCACAGATGACCAAGAACAATCCACTGAGCGCTGCCCTTTAAGCATTTCCTATGACATCTGTGGTCTTCGTGGACCATGATGTCCAGGGGCTGAGTAATATCCCTGGCTTGGGCGTGATTAGAGTCTCACCTGAGGAAATACTGTGTCACCTCCTATTACCAACTGCCACAAATGAGACCTCACTGATGACTTAATGGGGTACTTTCCTTATTAAAGATGGCATCCGGACTGAGAAGATGGCGCCCACAGTAAAAACACTTGGAACGCAAGCATGGTGGCTAGAGTTTGGATCCTCAAAATGCATGTAAACACCAAGTGGTCTCCATACACGCCTACACATGCATGCACACACATATGAACAGCACCACAGCACATACAAAATATCTTAAAGGATTATTTCCCCAGAAATCAGTTCACTTGGGTTCTGTGAAGGCACATGGCACATTTAAGTCTTCCTAATAATGTGCAATTGTTCTTTTTTAAAAAAAATGGTTTTAAGGGGCCAGCATCACTGTGTTGGTAATTCCACATGGTTCTAGTGCCCAAGTCAAAGCATGGTCCTTCTCTTTCCTCTTCCATGAAAGACAATCTGAGGCCTTGCCTGCCTGTTGGCCTGAGGGCCAGGGTGGAGGCTCTGCTCACTCGTGTCCTCTCCTCCTGTGTCCCTGCAGTTTCCGTGGGTTACGAATATGAATCCTGCCCAGATCTGATCCTATGGGAGAAAAGGACGGCAGTATTGCAGGGCTATGAAATCGACGCCTCCAAACTGGGGGGCTGGAGCCTGGACAAGCACCATGCCCTGAACATCCAGAGCGGTGAGTGGAACCGTGGGAGCCCTTGAACTGAGGCAGCACCTTCTCCGCTAGCCCATAGGGCCTAAAACAAGGCATACGGTGAATAACATAGGTACCAAGGTGATCATGCAGAAGGCTGTCAGCAAATGCCGACAAGGCATGGGAGAAGTACTTCATTGCCATCAAAGCAGCAATGGAGGGAGGAGCCCTGGGCAGCATCCCAGGGGATCTAGGACTAGCCCGGGGTGTCACGGAGTAGATCTTCCAGGAGGGCAGGGCAGGAGTCAAGGCACTGAGTTCCCAGGAAGAGGACTTGCAGAGAAGGACCGCTGTAACGTGAGCCGAGAGAGAGAGCAAAGGAAGAACTTCCCAGGCTCAGGCACAAGCATCTGGAACCCAGGGTCAGAAACTTAGGACTTGAGGCTTGATCTACAGTAAATGTCAGTCACACGTGTCCTTGAGGGAACTGACAGGAGCCATGGTAACTACGTTGCTTGTCTCCTGCCTCTTCTAAAACTAAAGGGAATGCTTGTCAATCCCATGGCAGGTTTAAGAGGGAGAACTTGAAAAACTAAATCAGAATGTAGAATAAAAGACATTCACATCCCTCTGAATCTTTAAAATAAGAGCAAAGAGAAAGGCTTGACACACAGTGAAGTCAGAAAATGAAAATCCAGAGCCATGTTGTGTGCTGGTAGAGAAACGGGTAAACAGAGTCACAGGGCAGAGCAGGGAGTTCAGAACTGACCCAGGATCACCACAAATCATGGTGAACAGAACGGTTTCAGAGGAGAAGCACAAATGGCCAGCAGATATGAGAAAGAACTGTTAACATCCGTGGCCGTCAGCACATGAAAATCCAAACGCAGTCAAAGTCCTCAGCCCAGCCAGAGTGGCCAGCATCCAGAAGATCAACCTGGCAGGCAGGGGCGGGGTGCGTAGCGGGACGGGGAATAGACTCAACACCCAGTACATACTTACATTTTAAATACTTTAAATAAAGTGGAGAAAAGAAAACAACATTAGTAGAGGGGACACAGGGAGGGAACCTCTATACCCTACTGACAGGAATGTAAGTGATTATTACCACTATAGAAATCAGTATGGAAGGCCCTCAAACAGCTAAAATCAGAACAACCAAATGGGTAGATACCCCCAAAGAATGTAATTCACCCCACCATCGAGATCCCTAAGTATCACGGTTACTGCCATACTGTTTACAATAGCCACATTACGGAACCAGTCCCTCAATAGATGAATAACTAAAGAAAATGTGTCTTAGATAACGGGGTCTTACTTAGCCACAACAAAGAATAAAATTACATTATTTACGGGGAAATGGATAGGACCGAAGATAACAGTGTTAAGTAAAATAAACTAGATTCAAATGCCTTGTTTTTCTCATGTGACAAAGCTAGTTCTCTCTCTCTCTCTCTCTCTCTCTCTCTCTCTCTCTCTCTCTCTCTTTCTCTTAGAAGATGTAAAAGTAGATGGGTATTTGTTTAGGCACAAAGTGAAGGTTAAAGCTACTGGAAAAAGAGAAGGCAATGGAGAAGCCGATGGGTTAAAGTACATTCTGTGTGTATGAAGATGGGACAGGTCAAAAACTAGGTGTGGCTCCCTGCATCCAAAATCCCAAAGTAACAGAACAGCGACCAAGCTAACCTTGGCTTCTCATTCACCTGCAAGCCTCCGGAGGCCAGTTATCCTGGGCTGCCAGCTCAGGAACTTGGGCACCTCAGCCTTCCTTGTTCACGCTGGCCTTTACCCCAAGGTCACAGTCCAAGGTGACTACTTTAGCCCGAACATCCACCTTCCCATCAGCAAGGAGGAAGCAAAGGACCAGGAGGAAGACCCTTCCATTGTAGGGATGCTGCCGCCGATGCCAACAGCATATACACTCATGTGCCACATGTGATGAGGCTGCCCCAGGACTGGGGTCGTGACTGCTCCTGGTAGACGTCCGAAGTTACGTTAGCAACAGAAGAAAGGAAGGGTGGATGGGTGTCTTCCTTAAAGTTTTATTTCTGTGAAGAGACACCATGATCACAGCAACTCTTACAAAGGAAAGCTGGCTTACAGGTTCAGAAGTTTAGCCCATTATCATCATGGCAGGAAGCGTGGCAGCACGCAGGTAGGCGTGGTACTGGAAAAAGAGTTGAGAGTTGAGCTACATCTTGATCTGCAGGCAGCAGAAGGAGACTGGGTGCCACACTAGGGCATAGCTTGAGCATATGAGACCTCAAAGCCCCTCCCACACACAGTGACCACACCTCTTAGTGCCACTCCATATAGGTCAAGTTTGCCAACACATGAGTCTATGAGAGCCATACCTATTCAAACCACCATAATGGGCCATCAGTGGATAGTTGGAAGGCCTGCCATATACACCATGTGTATAAATAGAAACTTCATATTCTATAGAGGCAGCATCATATATCATTGGATGTCAGGCTTCAGAATTAATACTGAAAAAAATGATGCAGTGTATATAGAAAAACTAGGCTACCCTACCACCCCACATTCTATACAAAGTAAGTTTAAATATTGTTAAACATTCAAATGTTAAAGTACTTTAAAAACTGATAGAAGAAAATATAAACCACTTTCAAATCTCAAGAAAGGATTTTCTAAAATCCTGAAAAGGCACAAACTTGGACTTGGAAAAGCAATGGGTTAGACTATGTACAATTTAAACCCATCCAATAAAGGACACAGTTTGGGCAAAACTAGAGGTCACACTGAGGAAGGATATTCCTGTGACCTGTGTGACCCCAGCCCCAGTCAGACACCATGACGTGAACACAGGTGTAGCACAGGCAGGGTCCAACCCGGAAGCCATGGTAATACACACATGATAAAGGATGGCTAAGAATGAAGAAACAGTGTGGATGCGTGAGGAAGTAGACAGGCATGGAGGTCAGTCCTTCCACGTGGTTGGTTGGGGAAACTGAGGCTCCAGGGCACGATGAGTTGCGAAGACCCTGGAGATCTCTACAAGGTATAGGATCAGCCTGTCAACCGCAAAACTAGGCAAAACCAGGTCCGTGTTGGTGAGCAGAGTCTGCATTTTCTTCATTTATTTCTATAAACATTTATTGGTATTCACGCTGTGACGGATTCTATGGTAGACCCTGGGGATGCAGAAATGGCAGAGACATAATCTCTACACTTGAAACGAGACTGGTGGAAAGAGAGAAAAGGAGGCCTGTGTACCTGAGAAACTGTGGTACACAGACGTGGTTGAAGCCTGAGAGAGATGTGTTAGCCGGAATGGTCAAGAGCTGCGTTCTGGGGCTGATAGCTCTTCAGTCAACAAAGTGTTGGTCTTGCAAGCACAGGGACCTGAGTTCCATCCCCAGAACCCAAGTAAAAAATGCCAGAAGAAGGCTGGGAACTGGAAAGGTGGCTCAGCCATTAGGATCACATGCTTTTGTAGGGGGCCTGGGTTTAATTCCCCGTGCCCACACAATGGCTCACAGCCGCCTGTAACTTCAGTTCTGGGGAATCCAGTGCCCTCTTCTGGCCTCTTCAGACACTAGGCACACATGTGGTACATGTATATACATGTAGGCAAAACACTCATATACAGAAAGTCTATCTTTTAAAATGCCGGGCATGATAGGATATGCTTGCCATTCAAACCCTAGAGAGGAGGAGATGGGCTCACTGGGGATCCCTGACCTGCCTAGTCTACTTGGCAAGTTCCAGGATATGAGAGGCCCTGCACCAAATGACTAGGAGGGTAGCACCTGAGGAAGGGTGACAGAATTTGTCCTGTGGCCTCCAAGTGCACCGGCACACACCTGCACACATTTACACATGTACTCACGCACATGCACATACACGCGCATGCAGAGAGGGGGAAGGAGAGAAAGAGAGAGAGTCTGGGCCTGCCCACTTCTTGTCCGTGGGGCCTTGGCTAAATTACTGGTCTGTTCCGTCCATCGCAGCAATGGTAACAGTACAGTCTCATAGGCCTAGGGTGAGAATCCGGTAGGTAAACCATGGAGCCTCTCAGCTCCCCCTGGGTTTCACTATGGTAAGACAAGCCTGGACAAGGCCTCCCTCCTATACTTTGTAGAAGTCACGATAACATTGACCAACCCAAGGAAGAGGGACCCAATCCCTGTCCCCTCATTAACACTGGCCTCCTTTCCTTGTCCCAGGCATCCTACACAAAGGGAATGGAGAGAACCAGTTCGTGTCCCAGCAGCCACCGGTCATCGGCAGCGTCATGGGCAATGGACGTAGGAGGAGCATCTCCTGCCCCAGCTGCAATGGTCTTGCTGATGGCAACAAGCTCCTGGCCCCTGTGGCCCTCGCCTGCGGCTCTGACGGAAGTCTCTATGTGGGAGACTTCAATTACATCCGCAGAATCTTCCCATCTGGAAATGTCACCAACATCCTGGAGATGAGGTATGGAAGGGGGAGCCCTCCCCGTGATTCCTGGCAGTGTCCCTGGCCAACAGCCTTCCCTATGGGGACCAGAGAAGGAGGCCATGACAGAACCACACCTATGGGCTAGGGAGGCTTTTCACTTTCCAGCTCCGTCAGGCGCTACCTCCCCTGTGCTCTGAGATAAAGACACGGTGAGTTGTCCTTCACACCCAGATGACGTGAAAGGCTGCTGACAGCCGAAAGTTAGTCCCTTGAAGCCACTGTCCCCTCTTTCTGCGCTTACCTGATAGAATGGGCTACAAGCGTCATCTTCTAAGAACCAAGGATGCACAGCAAGCAAAAGTCACCACATTTGGTCCCGGTCCCTTAGTGTTCCTCAGAAGTGGTTAGCTCTGTCTGTCCAGGGCTGAGGTGAAGTAAGGCCCGAGGCTGATGCAGGTTGGGCCTGACTGCTCCTTAGGGGCAGCAGAGCCCCCAGACTCTCAGCCCTGACCATGAGTGATGGAGCGCTGAGACCCTATGTCCACTTGGAGAGCAGCTGGACTTTGCGTTTTTCCCAAGTCCCTATGATACCTTTCTGTCGGCTTAGTGGCTACACGAGAGTCTACTAATATTTTAATTACCATCTGCGGGCCCCATGGCCCTCCTCAGTCAGTGCCCTACTGGCCACCCAGGCCGCAGCCTGAAGGGACTTCTGGTCCCGCTGCCTCAGCTTGGCCCTGGCTGAGATATGTAGGTTTAAACTAAGTCTCTGTTGTTCTATTTGCCAACAAGAGCTTTGTAAGTCAGGTGTGGGGGTGAAAGCCTGCTAGATCAGAGGGGCTGAGAAGCAACCAGCTGGCCTTCCTTTTTGGCCAGAGACCCAGCAAGAGAAGAACCTCTCTGCTCATCCCAAACCAAAAAGAAGCTCAAAACTCCATGGCCCCGCCCTACTCTTTCCTATGTATCTCTCTATCCGTATTCCTCGTTCCTCCAGATTCTCTATGGCTAATTCCATTCAACTAGTTGCTGTCTCTGCCCTCTGAACTAAGGTTGATTTTATTTAATTAACACAAATGCAAAGTCAGTATTCACAGCATGATCAAATATCCAACAACATACATAAACCAGGTCTCTTTGGAACCAAAGCCCTGCTCCGGGGCGGGGGCGGGGAGGCTCTACCGTTAGAGAGAAGCCACACTTCAGAGACAGGGGAGTCCCACTCTCAATTCCAAAAGAAATTGCAGGAAGTTTGTTTTTCACAGCTATCTTGGGGCAAAAAAAAAAATCCACCTCTATCCTGGTTTGGAACCACATGAGCAAAGCATGCTTGAGATGGAAGCATGTCCTCCAAAGAGTACGGATGGACAGATTGAGTCCCACTGGTCACCAGTGCAGGAGTTCTGGAAAGTACGAACTATTATCACCCTTTGGCAGTTAACGAAAAGCAGGCACGGGGAATTTAAAGTATGTGTCCAAAGTTCAACATCTAAAATGGCAAATCCAAGCTTAGAAGATCACTACCCAGCCCTGCCCGACCGAAGAGTGGTCAGCTGGCACAATGCGAGGTGTTCCGTCTTATAAAGCTCTACCCTGCTGAATGAATCTCATTCTGCAGCTCACATGTCAAAGGAGGCCTCCCGTTTTCGTATCCTTCAAACAAGACCGCCTGTTTTCCCTCCCTCCCACCACTGCTGAGGATCACGCCAGACTGCAAGAAGGGAAAGAAGGAATAAGTGAGCTTAGGAAAGAAAACTCAGTATGGGGTCATCCAAGCATCTTCCTCTTGTCTCTTCCTGATGGACCTTTTTCTCTGGGTCACCCCCTACCTAGCTGAACTCATTCTCTAACCCCATGACATATTTTGAGTAGGCTCGCCACGTTTCTAAAGCTTCCATAGGGAAGCATGCCTTGCAGAGACCTGGAGCAGCAAGACTGTGTATCTCTGGGTGTGTGTCCGTCCAGGGAAAAGAATCCACTGTCCCTATGTGGCCTGAGCCCCTGCTAAGACAGAAACACTGTAACAGGCCTATGCTCTTCCCAAAGCCAGCAGTAGGATGCCGGTAGAGGGGTGGAGCCGGGGCCCTTCCGTGATGTGTAGCTGTTTGTAAGTGATCTCACTGACAGAGTATCCAATATAAAATATATCAGTGTCATGGCCGCTAAGTCTTTATTTATTACCGTGTTGTACAGTAGCATTGCTGTCAAGTTTTCAGCTGCTAATAATGCATCTAACCCTGCTGCTAACACCTCCTTCTCTCTTCTATTCCCTGCTCTCCTGTCTTCTGTCAGAAATAAAGATTTCAGACATAGGTAAGCCAACCAATGGAGAATTTCCTGCCTCTCCCCTGTCTTGCTGTATTGCATGCTGTATGGTAAGCCCCGCTTGTCAATCCCAGGCGGCTCAAGGGCAAAGGAGCCCTGTGTGGTTAGAAGCTGATAGGGGATAATCGGTTGCAACCACAACACCCCACTAATCATGGTGGGGTAGTGGGGTAGGAGGATGAAGATCTGAACTCCTTCAACCTGTGGCAGAGTGAAGCACTCCTCCTGTAGCCTATAGATGTGACAGACTGGAGAAACGGGGAAGAACTTGAAGCCACAGCCTGATCAGTCCTTAGAGCAGCACATCCCCTATTGTTCAGTGAGCGTGGTGGGAAGTGCCAAGACCGTCTTATGGAGGGGAAGACTATGAAAGCAGACAGATTCTAGATATCAGAGTCAGAGCACTGGCAATGCCAGCGACCCCTTCCAGAGGCTCTTCCAGGAAGGACATCACAGTGACTCATGCAGGGGACAGTCCTCACATAGAGCTGTGTCCATGTGTATTTGATAACTGACCATGAGTAGACAGAGCTATATTTTGCGCAGCCACAGGGGAGACTCTCAGGTGTCTACATAAGACTCAGATGGTGTGTGGGATGGTCCTAGGCTGGGATAAAAGAAGGCTGTTTGGGAGAATGATGAGGCAGACAAAGCCTGAACTACCAGTCCTTATTAAATATACCTCTCTATATAACTATATGTGAGTAGGAATGTGTGTATGTGCATATATTTTAAGTAATAATTCATATGCGTAGATTATTTACTGCATAACAGAGAGTTAGACAATGCGCTTGGATGCCGTCTTCTATCCAAGCCACCTGTGTGGTCGACATCTGTGATTATAGCCAGTTTACCCGCAAGGTGAGTGACGTCTCCCAGTAATATGACCCTGAAATAATTGCTTCATCTCTCATTATTTTTATCTTATGGTTATTAAAAATTATTCTAGGGAACAAAAAAGGAACTCTTCAAACTAGTCAGCATTTTCAGGCCCAGAAAGAAGTTCCAGAAATTACTATGAAAAAATGTTACTAGTAGTTTTAATAACTGTTACAGTCTCTATACACTGGCTATGTAATTAGCATACTACAATTTACCATAATTAAGATAATCATGATGATAAGATGTCTCCATTGTTCCCCATAAAGGAAATTAGTCCTCTTACAACCAAGGACACATATAAGAAGACAAATTCAGCAGAAATCAGGACCAAAAGTAAAAGCTAAGAACAACAACCATGGTCAAATCTTAAACTCTTAAGTCATGGCAGCCAGAGTAACCGTGGAAACATAGCTCTTTCCTGGTTCACACTATCAGCAGTGGGAAACATGCCCTTCCCAGTGCAGAAGTAGCCTGTGTTCACACTGAAGCCAATGCCCAGTGAGCTTCGAATGGATGATACTGAACTGTTCATTGGTCTGTCCTCTCAATTTCTATATTGCAGAGGTACCCTTCATGTGTATCTTACGTTAAAACCCGGCATTTAACATTGAACCATTCAGTCCATGGTGACATCTCTCTGGGGCATGCCTGTGGTACTGGCAGACTCAGCTGAGAAGCCTTGTGCTATGTGGCATTCACTGATCAGTCAGCCTTCCTGGTTGCTGTTCACGTCACCTATCAGTTGGAAAAGTTGTGACTGTCCCTGTGTGGGGGTGTATCCTGCACACGTATATGCATGGGCGTGCATACTTCTGACGTTCAGTGATTTTTTTTTAATGAATGTGCATTGGTATTTTGCCTATTTGTATGTCTGTGCAAGGGTGTCGAATCCCGGAGTTACAGACAGCTGTGAGCTGCCGTGTGGGTGATGTGAACTGCACCTGGGTCCTCTGGGGGAGCAGAAAGTGTTCTTTACTGCTGAACCATCTCTCCGACTCCTTCAGTGATCTTTTGATCTAGCCATGATACAGGGTCAAAAACAGGGCCTGTCTTCTTTCCACCCGTTGTTTTCTCAGGTGAGAAAAATCTGTCTCCGTAGTGAACCACAGTGGAACCAGAGTAGAAAGGGGGCTTGCCCATTGCCAGCCACTTTCCTAAGATAATAAGGAAACCTGGATTCCAACTGTGATTTTTTTTTTGGACTGGTATCTCACTATTAGCAAATCCCTTTTTCTCTCAGCCTCGGTGTCCCCTGTAGCTCGATTAATAAAAATCCAGAGACAGACATTGGGGTTCAATCTGAAGGCCAGGAAAGTAAAGCAGCCAGCCACTGGCTCTTACCTCTACCTCAGTCTAAAATGGCGATCCTGCCTCCAGGAATCTGAGAATGAGACTGTGACTGAGAGCTGTCTCCTCCCGTTTTATATTCCTCTCTAGTGCTGGGATTAAGGGCGTTCACCACTACTGCCCAGTGTCTATGGCAAACTAGTGTGGCTACTGGGATTAAAGGTCTGTGTCACTACTGCCTGGTCTGTAAGACTGATCAGTGTGGCTGTTTTACTCTCTGAACTTCAGGCAAGCTTCATTTATTAATTAATACAAATGAAATATCACTCCAGTTTTCTCTACTGGATATTGGATAGATTAAAGAAGTTTTAGAAGTTTTATCTCCTTCATCGTTGCTTCTCTTTCTTCCAGTAACAGCATTTGGCTCCAAGGGAACCTTGGCCTGTGTGTGTACCCCCAGGATAGACTTTTCTCTCTTTTAACCTCATGCCCTCTGCTGTCGTGGGCACTCCCAGTAGCCATAGCCCCTCAGCATCTGTGCTGTGGATCTGTTCAGGAAATAAGCATCCTTATCTCTTCCATGATTTCTTCCCCGGGGTCAGGAAAACTGTCAGAAGTTTGTTCTTAGAAGTACACATGAATATAATCTCCCTCAAACCAAGCGACACATATAGTACTAACACAAAGAAGCCCCTAACTGTTGTGGAAAATAGATTGGCAGGACAGCATTATGTCAAGGAGATGTAGCTTCTCTATTATGTACCAACACAAATATTCTAGAGACTTCTCGGCGTTTCCAGATTTTCTTAAAAGCTGCCATTTGGGGCTGGGGACATAACTTAGATAGTAGAGCACTTGGTTAGTATTTCTTGAATTCCTGGGTTCAATCCCAGGCCTCACAGAAACGAGCATGGTGATCCAGGCCTCTAACCCCAGCCCTTGGGAGACGGGAGAAGGACCAGAAGTTCAAGACCATTCTTGGCTACACATTGGGTTCTAGGTCCCCCGAAATATATGACCCTGTCTCAAAGACAAAAACAAACAGTCGCCATTTATTTATTTATCTCAGTTTTTAACATAACAGACACTATATGGGGAGGTTTATATTCCTATGTAATTCCAATAATCCTTGTAAGTGGATTGATCACCCTCATTTCTCAGATATAAACAGAGTCTAAGAGTGGCGATGCAGTCTACCCAAGCAAACGTCAGTGTTTGAACCTTTGCCTATCTGGCTCAAGCACTCACGTCTGCCTACTGGTGGGAAAAATTGAACTAGTTTCTGTTAGGGCTGCATCCAGAGTGGTTTACTAAGGTTCCCTTGCTCAAAGGACGTTTTACTCTGGGACCAAAGGACGTTTTTCTCCCTCAGAAGTAGGGACAAGGTATCTTTGGTCACAAGAGACTCCCAACTTCCCAGTCTCTACCAAGAACTTCCCTACTTCTTCCCAAAGAAGGTAAAGAGGAGCTTGACTTCAGCTCACTGACTTCAGAAATGCTAACACAGCCAAGGTTATGTTCCCAGAGCTAGAAGATAACATGAGACCTTGGAGTTCCCTGTAGTCAGCTATGGAGCAAGGCTGCGATCCAGCTCTGTGCCTGGCCCTGCTCAGGGTCCTGGACATCAAAACTGGGTCAGACACAGTCTGCAGAGTCTAAAAATGTTCCCTGTCCGTGGGCCTGGGCCTGGGGCCTCTGCAATGAGATAATCTCCCAGCACACGCCTTCAAGGCTTGCATGGCTTGCAGCAGATCTCGAGTCCATTAGAATGCAGCACTGGTGTGCTCAGGGACTGTCAGAAATGCAAGTTCTGCACTATGGAACTGAAATCTGTATTTTAATAATATCTTCCTAAACACATTGCAGTTTGAGAAGCTCTGCTTGATTCCTAAGTCTCACTGTGCCTAGGGCTCAACTGAAGAGACCCTACAGGCACTGTGGTTCAGGCTACTTCTAATAGGTGATTCTGATGTATAGGACAATCAATCAAAGATCACTAGCAATGGGTGTTTCCTGTGAATATGCCAGCAATGAGGCTAAATTCATTCATTCATTCATTTATCCACACATAAATTCAGCAGAACTGTCCAGAACAATTCCCCTGAATCTGTGCATTCACAGTCATTATAGGACTTTAAATCAGTGCCTATCCCAGAGGAGTTCAAGAAGGTGGTGGCAGTGGCAGAGGTGGTGGCGGTGGCAATGGCTTTTATATATGGATTTTTGCCTGTATATATCTGTATATCAAATGATTTTGGAGGTTAGAGAGAGCTCTAGATACAACAGGACTGCAGTTACAGATGGCTGTGAGCCACCATGGGAGTGCTGGGAACTGAACGCAGGTCCTCTGGAAAATTGCCAGTGTCCTTAACTGCTCAATCATTTCTCCAGTCCCAAGTTCAAGGTTTTATTGAGGAGACAGACAGACAGCTCAGCAGAGAAGAGCCTGTAAAGGCGCTACAGACACTAGAAGCAAGGTCTGCGCTAACTGTAGTGGAAACATGAGGCTGCGGTGTGCTATTACAGAGAAGTGGGGGTCCAGGAATGGAGCACAGGTCGTGGGGTGAGCTTTCTCCCATCACATGCTTTCAAGGATTGGATGGCTCGCAGCAGATCCTCGGGCTCTTAGGGCACAGCACTGATGCGCTCAGGAGCCTCAGCAGCCGCATGGGGAAAGCACAGATTGTGGAGCCAGGCAGGTAAAGATGGAAATTCACTCTGCAGTTTGAGGTCCTGGTCCAGGACTTCATCTCTGTCCATCTCAGAGTTCTGAAATGTAAGAAGACAGTCCCTACATAATGTGATAGTTATGGGGAGGTGCTGAGGCCATGTGTATCAAGTGCAGGCACAGAGGCTAGGACACATCTTGTTCTTCCATGTCAGACACATCCCAATCCATGTGTGGTGGGGACCTTCCCCCAACTACCTCGGTTATGGATGACCCTGGGTAGTGCCGCAGAGATCAGGACACAGGGGATGCAGAGTAGGAGATACAACTGCATATTTTATTGCAAAGCCAGTGCTCTTTTATAATACTCAAATCACATTCCAAGCTAGGTTCCCAGAATGCTTGAAATAGTTACAGAAACTAACAACTTTGTTACAAATTATTTCAAGAGCTTTGTGCCCTAGTTATTCTAAACAAAAAGCCTGTTATGGGAATAACTTTTGCCGTTATATAATGTGTAAAAACACTTCATTAGGAGAAAAACCACAACCTAATCATAGCCTTTGACCTACAGTGCACATCTGTGTACTCAAGGCTGACTCTTGGCAGGGCATTCTACTGATAGAGAAGGTATGCCTCCTCCCAAGGTGGCCTGCCAAGTCTGTCAGCAAGAACTCTAGCTCAAGTCACCCCTGCACAGAGTTTCTGTGCAGTCCAAAGCTAGCCCTCCACACATGTGATCAGCTCCCCAGCTCTGCTCCACAGGCTGCTGGAGCTGTGGTCTCAGGGAAGGCCTGGTGGGAGCCACAGACACGGTGTAGGTACCAGTGCCGGCTGGCGTGAGGAAGAAATGTGGAGCTAGGGAGGTAGTTCAGTTGGGAGAGTGCTCACACAAAGCCCTGGGTTTTAACCCCAGCATCAAATAAAGCCAGTCTGGGGATACACAACTATAATCCTAGCACTTGGGAGGCAGGGCAGGACAATGCCAAGTCGGGGATATCCTTATTTATGTGATGAATTTGATGTTCGGCCTGGGATAAATGAGCCCCTGCCTCAAAACAAACAGCCATCATGTGTGTTTGTATGTGTGTGTGTGTCTGTCTGTCTGTCTGTCTATGTGTGTGTGTCTGTGTCTCTGTGTCTGTGTGTGTCTATGCATGTGTAGCTGTGTGTATGTATGTCTGTATATATGCATGTATATATGTATGTATGTATGTATGTCTCTAAAGGCCAGTGTGTGGGCAGAGCAGAGACATGACCATTGGTCAGCTGAAGGAGACACAACATTTTATTGACTTGTCCCAGTTAAACTTTAACCGTCTCCATCCAGAGCAAGCATTTTCTTCTATAATGACCACCAAATAAGCATAAATAACGCAGCCATAGCTTTTATAGACTCTGAAATAATCCTGCCAAGGCCACCTTCTCCCAGAATTCAACCATTTGAGAAGCTCCACACAGGTGACACTTCTCCAGGACTGCAGGGCCATGTGAACTGGAAGCTCAAGGGGCTAATCTAAGTGGACAGGGCCTCCACCAGCCTCCCTCAGGGTCCCCTTCCTGCCAGGGTCGATAGTGGCCGTTTATCGAGAGTGATGCACACAAAAATGAAGTAGTCCCCCTGCCTCCTGGCTGTCATAGGGAAGCTGGGAGCCCAGGCTGCTCCAGTGTGACAAAGCAGGATCTAAGGTCACTGCGTTTTTATTAAGCCAAGATCAGGGTTGTCTGGGAAGATTAATTCTGTGCCACCTTCTAAGTCCCAGGGGGACATCTCAAGATAAACAGGATGTCTGGGCTATTTCACCAACCCCACGGAAGGTAAAAGGAAATCTTATTGATTTCGATGCAAATACCACCTCAATAAGCCGGACACAGCCATGCCATCTACTGAAGACCAGCTGCTCCGAGTGCTGGGAAGCTGCGTGTCGAGCACTGGGACTGCAGAAGAGAATAAACCTCTGGCCATTTCCCCTTTGAGCACTGATAGGTAGAATGGAAGACGTATAAATAGCCGTGGACTCGTGTTTCATGTGAAATATTAATTAGCATGAACCCTAGGGCACACGAGAAAATGGCCAGGGAAATTTGCCAGAAAAGGTCCCTGAGTGGGCACCTGGAAAGTTAGTGACAAAGAAGAGTGGGTGCGGGCAGGGTCAGACACACTGGTGTGGGTGTTCCTAGTATGGTGTAGGGTGTTCCTAGTATGGTGTAGGGTGTTCCTAGTATGGTATGGGGTGTTCCCAGTATGGTGTAGGGTGTTCCTAGTATGGTGTGGGGTGTTCCTAGTATGAAATGTCTGTGAGAGAAATCTGAGGCGCATCAGGTTTGGAGACCCGTGCTTCCTCTGACAGATGAGAGGAGAGTCATGCACGATGAGACATGGTAATAAACTGGTGGGATGTGGGTCAAATCAGAAAAAAGAAAGGTCTAAAGAAGACCCGGGCAGGAAGAGGATGCTGCCCTCATTCACAAAGAGGCAATGGGAGAATAGTGTGGGGCTGGAGAGGAAATGCCTCCGAGAACAGCCTGTCTTATTAGTGGAACTCGGGAAGAAAATGGTAAGAGAACCAGTTTGTAAAATGAAAAGTTTTCCCAAAGGACCCGGGATTAATCTCTCTGCTTGGTAAATGTACAATATTGAGATGTAGTTTGAGGGACCAGTGAGTAATTAGACCACACAAAAGAGCTAAAAGCTGACGTCACAGTGCACTACCCGTGGCAAGCCCAGAACCCATGCATTCTAGGCTTGAAGGAAGCTGTAATCGGGGCTACTGAGCAGCAGGATCTAGGCCTATGGGAGAAGCCTACCTAAGTCATCTCCTGTGTGCTTTGCGGCACGCTGCACATTTGAATGTTCTCAGTCTGTAAGCAAGCACTAACACTCCCATCTTGTAGCTGAAGGAAGTCGGAGGTCCAGGGACCGCATGACACAGCCAAGTTTCAGAGCCCCCCTGGAATGGAGACTGAGCTAGTTTTGTACCCTGAACACTTTCCCCAGCCTCTGGCTACACTGCCGCGCCCCTTTCGTGTTTCGGCATGGTCCGGCTTTCCTGTTACCAGAGTCCAGTCTTTGTAACTTTCTTCCAGAAACAGGACCCCCAGCAGCTCCACTCCTGCTCTGTTTCTTTTTCCCGAAGTTCCCTGCAGATTAGAAACTGATCCTGCATCCCATTTATGGCTGACTGTAGTGGGGGAGACACCTGGGCTCACGATTAAGTCCATCATGGGGAGCAACAGGAAATGGGGTGGACACTGGCAGGAGGCAGGTCTAGCCAGTGTCTTATCTGTTGGTCCCAAGATGGAACTGGAAGTTGTTGTTAAAAACTTAGAGAGAATCCGGGCTGTGGTGGTGCACGCCTTTAATGCCAAGCATTCAGGAGGCAGAGGCAGGCAGATCTCTGTGAGTTCAAGGCCAGCCTGGTCGACTAGAGCTAGTTCCAGGACAGGACAGGCTCCAAAGCTACAGAGAGACCCTGTCTCAAAAAACAAAATCAAAAAAATAAAAAATAAAAATAAAAAAAAATCTTATAGAGAAAGGTTTGTTTTAAATTCTTGGGTTATTGTTTAAAGCCACCCACCTGCATGTTCCTATCTTGAATGAGCCATCTCCTGTGAAAAACTTTATTGATAATCTTTTTAAGAAAACGTGCCGGGACTAGAGGAATGGCTCAGTTATTAAGAATCCTTCTGTGCTTCTAGAGGGCTGGGTTCAATTTCCAGCTCCCACATGGCAGCTCGTAGCAGTCTGTGACTTGCGTTCCTGGGGATCTGATACCCTCTTATGGCTTCTGTGGGCACTGCACACATGTGGTTGACATGCATCCATGTAGGCAAAACACAAATACACATAAAAGAGAAAAAGAAATGGAAGCATGAGCTCAGTATTTGATAGAGGCATTAACCATCAAGAGGCTTGATGAGATTTTTTTTGGTATATGTATGCATGAATGCATGGTGTGAGGGCACATGTATGTGATGGTAGGCATCAGATATATGTACATGCATGTAGAAACCAAAGGACAAGCTTGGGTGGTAGAATCTTCTCTTTGTTGAGTCAGTCTGTCATTGGCCTAGAGCTCACCAGGGAGTGCAGGCTAGCTGGCCACTGAGCCCAGGAGTCACCTGCCTCTGCCTCCTACACACTGTGATTACTAGGACATGTTCCCACAGCTGGATTATTGTTTTCTAACGTGGGTTCTGGGTACTGAACTCAAGTCCTGGTACTTGCCAGGCAAGCACTTTACCAACTGAGCCATGTCCCCAGGCCAGGCAAGAGATTTTACATTAGTAACTGAAGGGGGTGGGATCATTAGGTGGAGCTCTTAGGTAACCAACAATAAAGACAGCATCCTCGTAAGAGCATCTTGCTTAGAATCAAATTGGTTGGGGGTTCATGTCATAGATCGACCATCTAAGTACTAAGCGGGCCCAACCCTTCTTAGTTTCTGAGGTCAAATGAGATCCGGCACTCTCAGGGTGGTATGGCCATAGTTGTGTTGTACATTTCTAGCTAACAATGGCGAGAGGAAAAGCGCTCACCCTAGCCCTGCCTTCTCTTGCAGTCACAGCCCAGCACACAAATACTACCTGGCTACAGACCCCATGAGCGGGGCCGTCTTCCTGTCTGACACCAACAGCCGGCGGGTCTTCAGGATCAAGTCCACCACAGTGGTGAAGGACCTGGTCAAGAACTCTGAGGTGGTGGCGGGGACTGGGGACCAGTGTCTCCCCTTTGATGACACTCGCTGCGGAGATGGCGGGAAAGCCACAGAAGCCACGCTCACTAATCCCAGGGGTAAGGCATCACATTTAAAACCATACCATTTGTTTGGTGTTGAATTTATATATATATTTAAGTCAAATATATATGTTATATAATTATATAATATATAATATGTTACAATTATATAATATATAATATAAATGTATAAATAGATTAAATAAATATTATGTATATAATAGGCAATCATCAGCAAGAGGCCTCAGAGACAGAGAATGCACAGGGAAACTGTGGGAATTCCACCTGCCAGAAACCACCCCGGTTAACAATGTCTGTCTGTGCTCATCTTTTCTTCTGAATGTCTGTGTACACTAGTCACTGCAGTCAAAAAAGATGAAACCACATCAAGCACACTGTCCAGTAGGCTGCTTTTGTCTAAACGATGCAACGTGACTTCTCCGCGACAGTAAGCAGTCTCCTGGCTACTCATTTTTCGCAGTCGTGTAGGGTTCTAACAAACCGATGCCCCGTCCCTTGCATACTTTCTCAGTTACTGCCACACGAAGACATTGTCCTGTGTCTTCCACGCATGGAAGGGAGACTCAGTCTCTAATTCTCCATTCCTCAAGCAAATTTACCAAGTGCACAGAGCATCGTAAGACACCGCAAAGCTCACTGGAGCAGAATAAATGAATCTTGGCTGGGAAGCACTCTGATGGGAGTGGGGACACAGGCCCTGAGATGTAAGAAGGAAGGGCTATGTTTGGGGTTCTAAGCTAAGAGACCTGTATGCCTAGAGACTGAGGAGACCTGACAGGCGAGGCACCGTCATTGCCAGCAGCATCCTCCAGAAGAACGTTTACTATGTTGCAAACACAATAGCCAGAAACTTCCAGCCTCTAAACCTAAGGCCCACTTAATAAAATGAGGATAATAATACCCTCTGTACCTACCTCCTAAGACTGTTCTGGGGGTCAGAGTTGATACATTTCACATGCCACCTGTAAAACTGTTAGAAATGGTTATATTGTTAAGGAGCACCAGGTTTCAAGGTCTGGTTTCAAATCAAAGCAGTAGACTTCAGAAAACTTGTGTATGCAAACTCAGGCTTTATCATCCAGTAACTGCGTGGTGTCGGGTGAGTTGTTGAACCTCTCTGAACCTCATTTGCCGCCTCTATATTACAAGGTTATACCACACAGTCCTAATCCAACTTAAATGTCAGGAATATAAATGTCTCCTGGGGACAGCTAGGTGCACAGTAAACATAACAGCAGAGGAGGTCCCCATTACTGCCATTATTGTGTGTTCCATAATCACGCAGATGCGATGGTACGGCATCATGACAGGCTGTCTCCCTAACTGATGGAATGGTCAGGTGGTAACTGCAGGGGAAGTATTGTGTCGTCAAGGGTTAAATTCCCTTAGTTGAGATTCCTTAGTAAGGAGTAGGCAGTAGAGAACAAGCCCAGGTTTGCACGTGATTCTTCTCTGATACTAGATGGCTCTCAGCAGAGGCATCTCCCCTTTCCAACCTCAGTTTCCCGGTTTGTAAATATGCAGGTTGGGCATATGATGATCCCCACAGCCCCTGTCAGATGCAGCATCCTAGTCTCTCCAAATTAAAATGGTTTCTTGCTGAGAGATTTTTCACCTCTCCTGGCGTTTCTCGGTTGTTCTGAACGCCTGTGGTCCCCTTCCTCACCCACCCAGATGGAGTGGCGGGCACCACTGCCCGAAAGCCTGTAATTAGCCCAGATAGGAATGACAGGGACACAGCATCACGCAGTCGCATCGCAATAGGGAGGAGGAAAGATGTCCATCTATTTAGCACAACAAAAGGAGAAAAATATGAAGTAATTAATCAGGGGACAGATCACTTCTATTAGCCTGTGCGGCCAACTTCGTAAACAAGAAACCCAATTGTTCACAGAGCGCTCATCAGTCCTGGCAGATGGAGGGGAGAGACGGGGCCTAGCCGGGCAGACAGGCAGACTCATGCCCAACTGCCAAAGGAAGGAAATTAATTGCCCTTCTAGGCAGGACCACAGAAAGGCTTCCAGCCATGAAGCTGCCTTCACATGGGTGTCAAGTCCTCTTCCAACCTCCCAGACTTTTACAGAGGGATGGGACCAGTGTTCTGGTGTCACTCAAAGGTGCCTGGAGGCCTTAACGCATCCTGCTGACCTGGAAGAGATGCAAGGAGCTAAGAACCCACCTAGGCCCTGGAAGCACACAGTATTGGCTGCTGGTTCCCAGACACAGTGGTCACTGATGAATATTGGGAACTAGGAATTCCAAGTCAGTTGTGCCCCCCAAGTGTGTGTGTGTGTGTGTGTGTGTGTGTGTGGTGTCAGTGTGTACATATGTGTGAATCTGTGTATCTGTGTGTCTATGTCTGCATGTATCTGTGTGGTGTGTCTGTGTTTGTGTGTGTGTATTGTGTGGTGTGTATCTCTGTGTGTTTCTGTGTGACTGTGTGTGTGAAGAGGAACACAGGGATGGCTCACCAGGGCCATGGGGCTTGGGTTCCTGTACTAGAAGGTCTTCACTTTACCAACTGAGGCCTCTCCCTGACCCCCAGTCAGAAGCTGTCATCCCATTCAGCCATGAGGAGACCAAGAGTCAGGAGAGAAATCACAAAATCGGGAGCCTCAGAGCTCAGACCTGCCCTCTCCCAAGGCCTCCTCTAAGCCCCTCATCGCACTGACTGGCCAAAAGAAAACAGAGCCAATCAAGTGGCCAGATCACCCTTTATGTCACCTCCACCCTCCTGGGTCTGTCATTTCCCGTGGTACCGCATGTTCTGACCCAGTCCTGTGCCTCCATTTCAAAACCCATCACCCCTCACCATCTACGTGGGTGGCAGATGCCACCCAGGAATTTTGGATACAGACATGAGCCCTCGTCCCTGCCATCTCCTGAGTGGTGTTGCCAGATGTGAGGCCAAGTAGAAGCTCTCCAGGTGACTATGAAGTGAATCCCTGGCCAGAAGCAGCCAACTCCTCACTGACCTTCTGATCGTTTTGTACCACCACTACCGTCACCCAGGGTGCCCTTCAGGAATGCAAACCTCACATGAGACCTTCTCAAGCAGCCTACTGGGGGTGCCATGGGCTCCTTAGAAGTTCTCAGGCCTGAGGCACAAATGCAGGCTACAAACAACCCTTTGATCTAACAAGTAAGAAAACAGATGCCAGGCAGCCCAGTGACTTGGCCTCAGAGACCTGGGAAGGGTGGTCAGGTGAAAGGGAGGTGCTGAGTGACAGCCTGGACACCCCCCCATCTTCAGTATGCTTCCCTGAGACCCCAAAGCCAACAAACCCATTCCCTACACAAACCCACAATGACCAATAAAACGAAACAATAAGGGTTAGTGACCTGAAAGAATGGCTGTCTTGGAAGAAAAGAGAAATGCTTACTGAAAAGGAGATCCATGATGGTGTTCGCAGGACTTCAGAAATAGGTTCGTTTAAATAATTCCCAGCGAGGGTGGCAAACGTCTTCCTCGCTGTTTCTGTTGGTAGCCAAGTCAAAGATGAAACCTCTCTTGAGGCAGCAAAGTGGGAGGCCAGAGCTTGAGGTCTAGGACATTAGGTTTTAACCCCTCGCTCATGGGACACTCAGAGCCTTGACACCTTCCCTGCACCCTGTTCATCTGTGGAGGGGCTGTGATGTAGCTCAGTTGATAGAGAGCTTGCCTGACGCGCACAGAGCCCCAGGTTCAAGCCTCATCCCTGCACAACACTGGTCATGCTATATAATCCCAGCAGTCTTGGAAGGTAGAGACAGGAGTTCCAAAGTTCAAGGTCATCTTCTCTATGTCTGGAACTCAAGACCAGCCTGGGCTATATGAGGTCCTGTCTCAAAGAAATAATATCAATTTTAGATTCTTTTTCTTAAAATTTAAAAGAAAACAAATGTAAGTAATAAACGAAATGGTAAATAACAAAAGGGAACTAGAGAAATTGGGGTGTAGCTCGGTGCTCTAGTGCTGACCTCCGTGTACGAGACCCTTGCAGAGAGACAGAGAGCTGGATGGGAGAAGATGCCGGACCCCAAAGCTCTCTACTGCACGGCTCCTTCTCGTCTCCGGTGCTGACTCCCTGTGTGGCCTTCTCCACCCTAGGGATCACAGTGGACAAATTCGGGCTCATTTACTTCGTGGATGGCACAATGATCAGACGCGTCGATCAAAACGGGATCATCTCCACCTTGCTGGGCTCCAATGACCTCACCTCAGCCAGGCCCCTCAGCTGTGACTCCGTCATGGATATTTCTCAGGTGAGAAGACTTTGTGTGCTGAGACCCTGTGAGCCGCGTGTCCTTCCTGTCATCTGTCACCCAGCCAGCCGGATGACTACTCCCACGTGGTTCATGGCCTGTGTTGAGTTCCCAGAGATCAAAGACAAGGAAGAAATTACCCCAGCCTAGCTGCCCTGAAAGTTCACCATTATGTCTAATAAGCGTGTGGCTGGAGTCAGGACTCAGAGGACAGTGATAGAATCCTTCCGTGGCCAGCAGACCAGGGTGGACTTAAACCCATAGCCTTGAACGTCCTCTTCGACACCATGTACAGACACTTGTTTATTTTCTAGACCACAAGCTGCATGAGGACAGGAATCTGGCCTGCCTCTACTTAACCAAAGTGCCTGGTGTACAGTCAGAGCCCAGCCCGTATTTGTTGGAAAGCTGGCTGAACCCTAGCTGTACCAAGCTACCCCAAGCTTTGGTGTGTGTAGGAGTTTGTGAGATCTTTTGGACCTCATTTCTCCTAGACATATATTGAAGTGATTGACATCAGCATGGCAGGGTTGCCTTGGAAAGGCATGAAATAGTACATGGGATCAGCAATGCTCATCACTTGAGATGTAATGATTGAAAAGTATTGTAGCATCCTATTTCAGTAAAGAGATGGCATGGGTACTAAGTTTGGACCAGGGATTTGCAGGATGAAAAAAAAAAAAAGAACAGAGATGGTATGTGCAAAGATGTAAAGATGATTATCAGGCCTAGTGTGGTCAAAGAACACTGGAAATCTGAGGGTGCAGCTCAGTTGATAGAATATTGCTTGCTTGGCATTCACAAGGGCCCTCATTCAATCCCTAGGTCTGTATAATTTAGATATGGTGGCACACTCTTGTAATCCCACTTCTGAGATGTGAAGGCTGGAGAACCAAAGTTCAAGCTCATGTTCAAAGTCAGCCTGAGATCCATGAGACCCTCAAAAACATTGGAGGCTTGAATACCAAAGCAGAGAGCATTTTGGAGGGAGCTGAGATAGGAAGAATGGCCCAGAGCCACTGAGAGAAGGACCTCATACTATATCAAGGGATTTGGGCCTCAGAACGTAGACATCAGGAACCCAAAGGTAGACATCAGGCTATCCAGTAGATTCTCTGATGACTTGGCAAGGGCCAGGTCCTTTACTGCCAGGTCCTGGATCAGAGCTTTGCTTGAGTTCAACTGGTGAGCAACCATGCTGCTAACGTTGTCAGAGCCTAGAAAATATAAATAAGCTGACAGAGGCCTCTCCCAGCCTCGCCTGCCATGTCTTCCTCTGGTACTAACACCCATCTCTGAATGCCTTCCTCCAAGCCCCATGACCACGCGGTTGGCAGTCCCAGCACCCACACCCCCTCCCAGCCCAATGCTGGTGCAGTGTCCCGCGTGCCAGCTTCTGCGATGATGCCTTCCAGAGTAGAATCTGTTCTCTGCCACTGTCTTTGCAATTTGGCAGGCTTCACCCTGCTGGCTCGAGAGTCTCTCTCTACAGTCTGTGAGCAGGCTAGAATTACCCAGGAGGAAGACGCCAAAACCTAAGGATGTGCAGACAAGTATTTTTGCTGCTCTAAATGGGCCCTCAACCAGCCAGCACAGGGTGCCCAAACATTTTCAATCCACACATTGGAAAGTTGTTTAGGTTTGGATACAGGCCCTGCCCGGCACTCACACCAAAGGCTTTGGGAGGCAGCTGGCATGTTGAACGGGAGAAAAACACAAAAGCCACATCCTGAGAAATCATGGAGTAAAATCTCTACTCCTGGCCCTTGCTGCCTTTGTCTGAATGTAAGAATTGGGTTTTTGTTTTTTCAATGAACTCTTAACATGGGCATCTGTTTTTACACACAAATATGGGGGGGGCGGCATCTGTTTTCCGGGATCCCACTAGTGACAACACCCAGCTAGCTGGCTTTCCTGTGGGGACCAAGAAGGAAAGTCACAGAAGCCATGACCAAAGCCTACAGAGCAGAAAAGCATGGGATTTGGGAGGAGACACACTGCGGGAGGGCATGCGGTAGACAAGCAGATGCCACAGCTCTGGAGGCTGGTTCTCAGCTCCCCAGGTAGAACCACCACTCCATATGGTGGAGCCAAAATGAGAATTTATCATGTGCCAGGTACGCACTCTGCTGGAAATGAGGTCAGAGCTGAGTACAACTTCTCTTTTCTCGTTTATCTGCCACTATCATCCCTGGGGTAGAATGGGGGAAACTGAGGCTGAGCGAAAGGAAATGCCTTTATAAACAGAGCCCTGCCCTGGGTTTCATCAAGGATGGGGAATGAATCTTTCTAATGAGATCATGAACATAATTGCCCAGCACAGGGCCACCAACTGGTAATAGGATGTAAATATCAGTTCCCCGAAACTCTATAAAGAACTTCCCTGTCTGTGGTCTCATTCACCACAGCTCCCCTGGATAATGTTGACTGCTCTGATATGAGGAAAGAAGTTCAGGGTCTCAGAAACTTGAGCGAGGTGACCTGACCCATTAGTGACGGTGGAGGCGAACAGGAAGTGAGGTACCCTGTGCCATCCCTCCTGCTCTGCGTGCCCTTTGTAGACATTCATTCGGTTATTCCTATGACAACTCATTTGCGTATGCTCATCACTCTGTGGCAAAGCAGTGGCCTCAAAACATCTTGATGGAGATGCAGAATGCTCAGGACAGCTGGGAAAGGGAGCCCCCTCCACCCCAGGTCCCTTGAACATAGGCGCCCGAGGGCCATGGGAGCTCCGAGGTTCAGGCCTAACATTTTGGTAATGGGGATTGAAGCTGTGGCGGCATTATCATTAACCAGAGGAGAAACCAGAGAGAGGAACACATGGGTCTGGTGGAGAGACATCAAGCCAGCAGCCCGTCAGAGCCCAGAGCAGCTGAGAGCAGCAGTCTCCTTTCCCTGGCACACAGTCACATGAGCAACAAACAGAAAATGCTAAACTGCTCTGCTTGCCTGTTCCTTTCTTCTGCCCCCTCCCCGTTCTGCTCCTTCCCATCCCCTCCCCAACACCCATCAGGGCGCCATCTTTTCATCATAATGACAGGCAGAAAGGTCTCTGCAAGGAAGTCCCCAAGGTGCCACAGGACCAGAGGGCATAAAATATTTAGCGGCCAGTGTTGACAAGGAATGGGTTTTAGGAAATTGAAAAGTCTCCTGTCACTTTAAAGCAAACCGTGTGTTCTTGATGTAGCTGAAAGCTGGCGGGACCATGCCCCAGAGAGCACTGGGGTGGGGGGCAGCAGTTGCTTTGCAGAGTCTGTAGCTCTCCTGCTCTGCAGAAGGTTTGGGGCCGGTGAGGAACAAGAGGCTTTAGGATACACAAGCTGAGCCCTGTTTTGACCCATCCTGAGAAGGACTCTAAGCAAAGGGGACAGAGAGAGGCAACCTCACAAACTGGTTTAGAGGTTTTATTGTTGTTTGCTTGGTTGTTTTTTTTTGGTTTTTATTTTGGCATTATTGTTTTACATTTGCCAACAACCATGTAGACACTGTAGCAACTTTTTAAAACATTAAAATAAAAAGAATGTGACATCATCCTTGATCCCAGAATGGTTACTATGTTGGTATGTTTCCTTCCAGCTTTTTGCCTCTTCTTTGTCTGTAAAGTAAACTTCTGTACTTTCCCTAGCTGATTTCTGTCTATTCCTGAAGCTCTGTAGTCCGTTCTTTCTATTTAGCAAGTAGCAAACACTTCCCCCACGTCATTCCATAACAGCGCTGCTCAGCCTGTGGGTTGGGACCCCTCAGGGTCACACATCAAATATCCTGCGTGTCAGATATTTACATTTCAATTCATAACAGTAGCAACATTACAATTGTGAAGTAGCAACAAAGTTATTCTATGGTTGAGGGGTCAGGGCAGCATCAAGAACTACACGGAAGGGTTGCAGCACTAGGAAGGTTGAGAATCATTGACCTACAGCATCACGGGAAAAGATTATTCAGGTTTCTAAATTACAAGCCAAGTAAATGTGCTATCATTATTTAACTAGTTCTTGGTTTTGGAGCACCTGAGTTGGTTCTGTTTGGTTTGGGGTTTTTGTTGTTTTGTTTTGTTGCCACTATTAAAATGGCCATGATTTAAAAAAAAAAAAAAAAAAAAAGTTGGTTGGTGGTGGCGGCGCATGCCTCGGGAGGCAGAGGCAGGCAGGCGGATCTCTGTGAGTTCGAGACCAGCTTAATCTATAAGAGATAGTTCGAGGACAGGCTCCAAAGCTACACAGAGAAACCCTGTCTTTTTTTTAAAAAAAAAAAAACTATAAACACTACTAGCACTCAAGAGATGGCTGCAGTCCCCTGGGCACCCACTCGAAGGTTCTCCGTGACTCCAGTCACTTTCCCAGCCTTGAGGGAGAGAGAGAGAGACTCAATGTGAGTCTCCAGGCTCTGAGCCTAAGTCCCACTGCAAGTCTCATTCATCCCTTCTAATAGGACCTGCTCTCTGAAGTCCTAGAGACACCCCCTCCCTTCCCCTGTATCAATCAATCTTTGCTGAGCTCCAGTGTGAACTCGGTCCTCCAGGGATCTGTTCAGATTCAGTAGGTTTGGGCAAGCTTGTCATTCTGCATTTCTGACCAGCTGCAAGGGGATGCCAGCCAGCACCACTGGTTTGATTATTTCCCTTTAGGAGAAGAACCCAGATATGGTTCCCAGCTAAAGAAGTAATCACCTAGGAAGTTACTTTTAAACAACCCCAATGAGCAGACCAGCTACACCGAGGACCCAACCTATCTGACTGCTCAGAACGTTTCCTACAATCTCAGTCGGTAGCACGAATAGGGGGCCAAAATCGAAAACCACTAGTCTAGAATCCTGTGTCAGACAGGGGCATGGATGTTTTGGCTCTACATCCCCAAGCCTAACTTCGTGTTAGTCACCTTCATACGTGAGCCATGTCAGCATTTCATGGAAGTCTTTTGAAATCCTCCGAACAACTCCCACGTCAGCCTCCAGACTCCGTCTTCCTCTCCCTCCCACATCGGCTATCCATTATCTGAGTCCGAGCACCTACTGTGTGTCAGGAGGTACAGTTGTCACCCCATTGTCTCAATATGAATTTCGAAGCTCAGAAAAGCAAAGTAGCCTGCCCAAGGTCATGAGTAATGGGTCTAGGTTCGGAACCTAAGCCTGTCTGACTCCAGAGTCTCCATCTCGAGTCTGTAGTTCCCTTCTTCCGTTTCTGCCCGGCTGGGTCAAACTGTATATAAAGGCCCTTGGGACACAATAGTGGGTTATTGGGAGTTTGGGGTGATTATTAGTGAGCGTCCTGGCATCATGTGAGTGTCCCTGTCTTCTTTGTCAGGTTCGCCTGGAGTGGCCCACAGACTTAGCCATCAATCCGATGGATAACTCCCTCTACGTCCTTGACAACAACGTGGTCCTGCAAATCTCCGAAAACCACCAGGTGCGCATTGTCGCCGGGAGGCCCATGCACTGCCAGGTCCCCGGCATCGACCACTTCCTGCTGAGCAAGGTGGCCATCCATGCCACCCTGGAGTCAGCCACGGCTTTAGCTGTCTCGCACAACGGAGTCCTGTACATCGCCGAGACGGATGAGAAAAAGATCAACCGCATCAGGCAGGTCACCACAAGCGGTGAGATCTCCTTGGTCGCCGGTGCCCCCAGCGGCTGCGACTGTAAAAACGACGCCAACTGCGATTGCTTCTCCGGAGATGATGGCTATGCCAAGGATGCCAAGCTGAATACCCCCTCTTCCTTGGCTGTGTGTGCCGACGGGGAGCTCTACGTGGCTGACCTTGGAAACATCCGAATCCGATTCATCCGGAAGAACAAGCCTTTCCTCAACACCCAGAACATGTACGAGCTGTCCTCCCCCATCGACCAGGAGCTGTACCTCTTTGACACCAGCGGCAAGCATCTGTACACCCAGAGCCTGCCGACGGGAGACTACCTGTACAACTTCACTTACACGGGGGATGGCGACATCACACACATCACTGACAACAACGGCAACATGGTGAACGTCCGCCGGGATTCCACCGGGATGCCCCTCTGGCTGGTAGTCCCAGATGGCCAGGTCTACTGGGTAACCATGGGCACCAACAGTGCACTCAGAAGCGTGACCACGCAAGGACACGAGCTGGCTATGATGACCTACCATGGCAACTCCGGCCTCTTGGCGACCAAGAGCAATGAAAATGGGTGGACGACGTTTTATGAGTAAGTATCAAGATGGGGCTGTGTTCTATGGGATGCACTGTAAGATTGAAGATGAGTGATTTGGCGGAATGTACTTTTTATGGATTTTCTTTTAATTCAGGATTGGGATTGAAGACCCTTACCGGTGATAGGTTCTGCACGGTCATGCTCTGAATGATTTATCCTAGAAGGAAAATGGTAGATTCTGCACAGTCATGCTCTGAATGATTTATTCTAAAAGAGAAATGGTTTGGGCTCAAAGATGTAGACTTCAATTCCAGCTCTACCATGGGCTTAATCTCACTAGGTCTCACTTTCCATACCTGTAAAATGGATACAGTAGACCACAGCAACATGGTGTCAACCTAAACTACTTCAAGAGTTAATATCTTCATATAAACAGGAAGGTGAGAATGAAGGGAACGCCCCACATGAATGATTTTTTTACATAACTGAGGTTCCATTATTTTTAAATTTTGGATGAACTTAGGGCGTTCATTACACTCTCCCTTCCCAAACTCATGGTATAAACATCGCCTGGCCCTTCTTTTAGGAAGTCAAGTTCATTAAGGAATGATGACAGTTGTAGGCCATGCTGTGCCACAGAATTAACTTCCAGAAGTGGGAACGCAGAGCCCTTCACCCCTAAATGAACCAAATGATTTTGAGTGATTTGCTTATGGGCTTCTGTAAGCAATGGGTGTGATCTGGCTGTCTCCCTCCTCGCCGCAGTGATGCGTTTGTACTCTGCTTTGGGTGTGATACAGTGCTCACTTCAAGTACCTGCTTCCTCCTCTCCATACGAGATAGGCATCTCAAAGCGATGCGGCCAGAGAGGCAGAAGTGCAGCTCACTACAGTCCTAGGCAAATTATTCATCCCACACACATCTAGTCGACGGATGTGCTGTTTTAATGAATGGGTCTTGTAACATCTCTTTTTCAATATGAGATTTTTTTTTAAGTTTCTCTTCTTTGTCATGTTTGAGACAACTGAGCCTGCTGAATATGTCAGCATTAGACAGGCTGCAGGAGCTGGCAGAGAACTTGGTCTTGTCGAACATCAGCTCTGCACCAGAAACCGAGTCATTGAGCTAATCCTCACGGCAGCAGGGGCGACAGGTAGTATTTTCTCTTTTACAGAGATGGAGATGGAGGGAGGCTCATTTGCAGGCTGTAACAGAGCAAGCAAGAATACTACAGTGGATCCAGTGTTGGGAGGGAGCTATAATTGATTTTTAACTATAATTTATACTAAAAAAAATGTCATAGCCCCATGTACAAAGTTCACTAGCTAAATTCCTTTCTCCAAACAGGGGCCTTGTTAATTGCAAAGAAAAGACAAAGATCCAGGAAAATAGCAATTATCTTGATTAGCTCATTGAAATGGAAATACACTAAATAATTCAATTTCCCCCATTGCCTGGTAGAAACCCCTTATACATTATTTAGCCAATACAGGGATTTCTTTGTCAGAGCAAATCTGTTCACACAATTAGTTCCCAAGGTCACTCCCTGCCTCAAATCCCAAACTGAATGTGAACACGTCACTGCTGTGTGTCAGACCCTTTCCCCCAATATCTATACAGCACCTCGGGTTTGCAAGCCCCTGGGCCTGACACAGAAATGCATTGGCAAGGGTCTCCCCGGTCAGTAAGAATTACCATCCGCGTGTTTCTTTTACCTATGAACACACCAGGCTCAAAGAAAGCACGTGATAAGCTTCGAGTCATGCAGTCGGTAGAAAGCCAGAGCATAGTGGCCGCTCCTCCTGCGGGACTGGTCCAGTTCCTGAGGTGCTTCCTGACTTACCTGCATGGCGGGATGAAAATAGTGCTGTTTCTAGGGGTAGTCTGAAGCATGGACTCTCAGCGAGATAAAATATGGGTGGTTCGGTGAGAGCTGCTGCTGTTGTTCCCAGCAAACCCATGGCAGAGCCAGCGGTTACCGGAGCAGCGTGGGAGAGAAGCCACCAAAGCAACAGAAGAAAATGTTTCAGCTGAGTTGGGAATCAGAAGTCAGGCAGGGGTAGAATCAAATGTCAGGTCTCGAGAGTTCAAGGTATGAACCAGGAAAACAGTCGGTTCCTGAGAGTATCCAAAATGGGCTAGAAAAGTGGGCTGCACCCTGGGCCCGAGAAAAGTGCTCCAGCTCAGACCGGAAACAGTGAGGATGTGAAATACCAGTTCTCGCGAGACTGTGCCCACGGACCAAGAACAGATTGGGCAGAGCCGCTCATACCGGAGTCTCCACCGCTCTTCAGAACTATCACTGTCTTCGGGCCGTTCTGGGGATCAAAAGACTTGATAATCCCCCTCCCTCTGTCTTGCTTTCTCTCGGGGTCTCCATCCCTTTCTCTCTGAATCGCTGCCCCACCTCCTTTTTCTGGGTCTGTCACCTCTCTCTGGGTCTCTGTCCTAATGTTTCTCTGGGACTCCTAACTCTTCTCTGGGCTGCTGCTGGGTTTCTGTCCCCTTTCTCCTGTTCCTGGCCTCTTCTGTCCTCCTTTCTACGTATCTGTCTCTGTCTGTCTACTTCTGTTTGTTTTCTGTCTCTATCCCTTTCTGTCTCTTCCTCCTGGTCTTGATCCCCTTCTCTATAAGCTCCCTGCACCTCCGTGTCTGTCTGTCTGTCTGTCTGTCTTCTGTCTGCCTTTGTCCATCTCTATCTAAGTCTCTGTCTGAAACTACATACACACATGCACGCATGCATGCATTCATGCATACATAGATATATACATAAATTCTGAAAGTGAAACTACATACATGCACACATGCACACATGCATGCATGCATACATACATATATACATAAATTCTGAAAGTGAAACTACATATACACATGCACACATGCATGCATACATACATACATACATAAATTCTGAAAGTGAAACTACTTAATAAATGATAAAACTACCTAGAAATCGTTACAGCATTTTTAACTGAAATAAATACACAAATAAAGTGTGTGGAGCTTGGCTAATGAACCATTTGCTGAAGTACAGTCTCTGTCTAGCATCATGAGGCAGCTTAGTGGATCCAAACCCAACGTGCATACATGTAAAAGCCTAGGAAGGCCTGTGGTGGGGCTGCTACTGAAACAGGTTTTAAGTCGGTTGCATCAATCCTCTTAACAGGTTAAACTAATGTCTAATGTAAACAGCATATACTTTAGAGAAACTCGTCTTTGAGAATCTGCTGTTGTAGAGAGTCAAGGTTATTCGGACCCCGCATCTGTTGGGGAATCCCTTTCTAGGAGACTACAATGCAGTCTTTGGCTCTGTGGAGGGGGCACTGTGGCTTTCAGACTCGGCTCCAGGTCCCACGGAGCTTAGCAGTGAAGAAAATGTCTTGATAAAGCCAGGTGTGGTGGGTGGTACCAGTGTTCATGAAGCTGAGGCAGCCTGGGCTACCTGCATAGTGAGTTCCAAGCCAGCCTGTGCTACATAGTGAGACCCTGTCTGCAAAAGAGAAGCAAGCAAGGCAGGCAGCTGACAGAATGAGACTAGTTCCAAAGTCAACTCTCTGGGTGGGACTAAGCCGCAAACTCCCCCCATGTTCCATAGGAGGAAGAGGCTGTAGCCTCCCACAGTGCCCCATGATGGCTCCTCTTACAATTACACCAGCGGTAAATATATGGGCTCCTTACTAATTCTTTAAATTTATTTCTGCTTCAAGTTTAGGGCTTTGCCACCTCATAGGTGTTTAGTAAATATTTTATGAATGAAATGTTGACTCAGGAGGGGAAGGGAGATAAAGAAGGCACACACGCTGCCGCGAGAATACTAGATGCAGATCCCGGCTCCGGCATTATCAGTGCACCTGGCGGGATGCAGAATTCAATTCACACAGTTCAAATAAAATACTTGGCTTTCGGTCCTGCGCCTGAGAGATACGAGAGCTGAAAAAGAGCATCCTTCCCAAGTTTATAATGAAAATAAGCCCGACAAGAGACAAGTATACGTGTTTTCTTCAAATTCCTTCCCGGGGGTCACAGGGCAAGCAACTGGCCCAAATCCAAGAACTCAACCTACAGAAAAGGACCACGTCCGTGCTCCGGCTTACCCAAACACTGGAGTAGAAGTTCATCCAGAGCTGCAGAAATTGATGGGGGAAGTCCATGTCCTCGTCATGATCCTCCCCACCCCTACAGACTACAACAGGGGTTTCTACACACACACACACACACACAGAGAGAGAGAGAGAGAGAGAGAGAGAGAGAGAGAGAGAGGAAAACTTAAGGAAAAGTCTCTCACAATTGACAGGATCGAGGGGCCCAGCAGCTGCTAAGGGGAATCATAGCACCAGCCCACTCCACCCATGCCTTTCTCACCCCATCCCCAATAAGGGTCAAGGGAAAATGGCGTCTGCACATCCTCCTCAGACACTGGTGAAAATCCACTCAGCTCAATGAGAGACAAAGAAGAGGAGAATCGAGTAACCGCTGCCGAGAGAAGGGTGGGGCTAGGTCTCCTGTCCAGGACTGCCACCTAAGAAGAGCAGGAACACAGAACAGCTTGGGCACCCTCGGGCACCTCCCCCGAAGCCCTGCCAGAGCGATAGAGAAGGCGCCCCTACCACCACAACTGCCTGGAATCTCGAAGCAAAATCAAGAGGCAGAGTACATCAGAGAAAAGGGTAAGGAGCGGGCCAGCACGTGGAAGGAGACACCCCTCTAAGGCAGTACATAGGAAGAACCCAAAGCTGAAGGGGCAGTGACTTAGAGACGGAGAAAAAATTAAGTAAATAACAACTCTGGCAAAGTAGTTTCTCAAAGAACTGCTGGGGAACGTGGTGCCTGAGATGCACCAAGGTTAACCATAGACACAGTGAACTTCGAAGCCAGCCCTACTCCTAAGACCATGACTTCACACCCCCCACTAATGACCTCCCAGGAGGACATTCACCTCCGTCTCTGCCGTGTTACACAAGATGTCACATTTTCCAACTGACAGTGCAAAGAGGCGAGAGAAAGCACAAAAAAAAATGTAGTCATCAGACCCCCACATTCAGATATGACAGCGA